TACATACTCAAAAGAAATGAATATATTAGTTTACGTTTTATCAACATGTTTTACATATGAAAATTTTGATCACTATTTAATAGTGATTTCTAAGGGTCTATCTTTAATATTTAGAAGCAAGATCAATTTTAAAGGTCAAAAATTTATATGAGGGCCACAGCGTTTTTAAAAACTTTAAGGTGATGTGTGACCATAAAAGGTTGGGAAAGATTGTAATAGACTTTTACTCGGTATTACATCAAACATGCCCAAAAGAAATTATATAAATAATAACATATAATATTTTAACTTTTGTTGTAAAAAAATAAACTTTCAATGATTATTTGCTTAAAATGTATTCTGATTCAGTATTGGTCCTTTGTCCGACTATGTAACTTAGCACGAAGTAAATTAGAATGTGGAGTAAGTAATTGAATCTTGGCCAGACATAACGCAACTTTTACTTTAAAGTTGCATATAAATGATATTATGACAGTTACCATTTATTACCACAAAGCAGGTTGCATAACTGTAATGATTTATCTGTTTTCCTTCCGCAGGCCGTGGAAGATGGACCCCAGCGGTGAGGAACCACCCACAGACCCGGGCGCTCGGCAACCCGAGCGGATGGGTTATACAGAGCGCGACTTTGAAGGTCAGTACTTGCACATGGCTTCATAATAAAGAACACTTGTGTAACATATGTGTGTAAATCAAATGCTGCAACTATGTAGGATGTTAGATTTTCAAAAGTGATATAATAGGCAATTTAATAACTAGAGAATTTATTTTAAATGCTAGAACTTTGTCCTTCCAAATAGGTCGCTGGTTGCAACCTCGACAAACCGATTTCAAACCATAGTATAAATTGGTTATATGCTGAAAATATAGATGGCAATATGTTTACAAGTACAAAAACCCTTATCTGGCATCAAAATACTATTAGAGTAGTGATTATAATAAAATAAAAAAATAGTGATGGAAGTTACAATTTAGGCAGCCTTCTAAACAACTTTCAACGCTTTAAGTGATGATAGCTGTTCTAAATAACTTGTTAAAAAATTTTAAGATCTACGCGAAAAACTTTAAATTCATCCAAGTATTTATATTTTTATAATTTTTCGGTTTAATTACTTGTTGTCTAACCAATGTTCTTTACTATGTGTATGGAGGTATAAAAGTATGCATACACACACATATATATATATATATATATATATATATCACACTACACACACACATATATACATATATATATAGATATATATATATATATGTGTGTGTGTGTGTGTGTGTGATATATATATCTGTATCTGTTTGAGAATTTTGTCATTGAATGAAATCAACCATGAACATATTGATTACAAAACATCATCAAAAAAGCACTTGTTGACAATTATAAAATTTTGTATTTTCAGTCTTCTCTTCTTTCAATCCTACAGTTTTATATGTAGTCCATTTCAGGACAGCAAAAATTGCTATATGATAAAAGAAAACAATTCTATATATTACAAATTATTTATTTATTATTTTGAATATATTTATTTGATATATTTATTATTTAAATACGACATTAATTAAATATGAATATTTTCCATACAAATATGTAGAAAATACAATGATTGTAATTACAATTGCTAAATATTGCTTAATCAAAGAACATCATACGATACTTGTTTCTTGAAATCTCGAGGGCAAATGTAATGTTTTTCTTTCTCGGATTCCTAATTGAACATATGTATCTTATTATTAG